GAATTATTCCTCCCCTTTATGGAATTGATTTGATTAATTAGGGATTTGATTTATTAGGGTAAATCAAATCCCTAATTGTGGTAGGTATCAAATCAAATCCTATTTCAATTAGGTAACTCCTCATTTAATTGAGAATCGGGGTAGGAATTAGGAATCAATTCTCAACCCAATTAGGTAGTCTTCAATTTAATTGGGTAACCCCCAATTAAATTGAGTAACTCCCAATTAGGTTGATTAATTCCCAATTAGGTCAAATAATCCCCAAATGGAATGAATTATTTGACCTAGGGTTTTGACTTAATTTGGTTACCACAGGTAACATACTTGCTAAGCAAAATGAGATGTGGAAAGCTCTTTATATATTCGTTTGACTCTTAAGTAGATCTGACAAGAAGGTTCTGCAGACTGCAACAGGGAGCTTAAATATCTAGCTGGAAAATATAGACAGAAGCAAAGTCATAATTTTTAAGATGGCATGAGCCATGATGAGGCACCTACATTTCCTTGTTCCAACAGTACTAATATTCCTCTAGTTATGTTCCCAATATTAATTCTTATGGGAGGGTATTTAACTTGTCAATTAATCTTGAGGGTACAGACAGATGTATTTCCTTAATCTGTGCAATTGATTAACAATTGGGTTTGGCTCCAGAGTATATGCCATAAGGTTGAATATTACAATACGAGCTATTTAGCCTATCAACATAACCAAGCTCATAATTTAGTGGTACTTTTCTTCTTAATATTGAAAGAGATTTTAAGTTCAAATTCCCTTTCCCGTAAAACCTTAAAGCTAAAACATTATAGAAAGCTTTCAATTTTGGATGGCTACAGTTTAGGTTTGGCAGTTGACGGCATGATATGAGAGAGACCAGAAGTCAATTAACAATTGGTATCATGAGAGACACCAAGTGGCTAATTGTTTGGTCTGCTAAACTTTACAGAACTAAAAGTTGAGAGAGGGAGGGTTTTTTACGCATCCTGATTAGATGGTGACTTTTATAAAATTTTTAGGAACTTTCTTATTGAGAGGAGCGATAACGTACTAAATTCAGACACACTACACAAATGCTAGGACTCAAACCTAGAATCTTGTCCAAGCAAATAAAATACTTTAAACCACTACACTAGTTAGTCCTTTACAGTGAGACTAAACTCATCCCTTTCCACTAGTGCTCAATTTCTAGGCCTTCTTTTGGACTACATTGTGAAAATTTCAGATAATATAGTTCTTGGGCTTCCTCCCTTCAATTAGGTCAACTACTATGGCCTTTCAAAATTGATCCCACAGAACTGATGAAGGCCCAACCAATATGGTGCGGCTTTTCTTAGTCAGACCAAAATAGGGTGCACAAAAAACCAACATGACACCTGAATTAAACAATTGCCAATGCCCAACCACTATTTTGTTCAATGAAGGACAAATTAGACCAACAGATCATAATCTTGACTTGATTATGGACTCATTAGTATCAGATTAGTAAAGAATCAAGTAAATCAGCTTTTGGCTAAAGATCGCAACTGCAAACTTCACTTTCTTTAGCAAATGATTGGCTCTGATTTTCAACCCTAACATGGACATCAATCATTGCACATGCCTGTAATATTCCTCTAATCATATAACAATTCCTCCATCTCATTTTAATAAACTCAAGAGAGCAAGAGAGCAGCTTACAATCACAGAGGTGGTTATGTATGTGGTGGTAGCCATGTGTTAAAAGGCAGATATACAAGGCATTATATCAATGTATCTGTCTCTCTTTCTCAATGCAGAGTATATTGAGCTAAAATATGAAGGTAGCCATGTGTCATAGGGAATCTTAATGTTACAATGTAAGTAATATCAGTCTCTTTCTGTTACTATTATGTGTTTGAATGAACATTAAAACCAGAATCTTCATACATTGCCTCCATTTAGCCCCCACTAGCTCTTCCTCTTTATATATCTGTAGCACTCAACAATACCAAAAGTCCTACAATCTCACCTCCTTTCTGCTTCTCCTATCTTCTTGGTCCTCAGTGCAGCAGATGGGTTTCCAGGACATTGTTGGGGGAAGGTTGGGATGTCAATATGAGAAGCTAACCAAAAGGAATGAAAAGGTGGGAAGGCCTGGAAGGCATTGGGTGAAGAAAATTAATGGAAGACTGAAGGGTCTGCGGTTATCGCGCTCCCGGAAGCTTACTTTGAAGATTTTTTCTTCAGTTGTATGGCCAAGCAGGTTTGCAAGGATATGCGGTGACATTGTGAACAGAATGAAAGCTGATGGAGCATATCCCAGTATTATCTTCTCCACTCAATTGGGGCTTCCAGTTCTGTCTCATTCATCTGTCAGGGCCTGCAGCATCAAATGCACCCCCAATATTGTACCAATTAGGAACTGTATCAAATAGCATGATACTTTGATTGTTATTGTACATTTCTCTGTCTCAAATCATATAATTGCTTTTCTTATTTGCTTTCACTCGGAACTAGTTTTTATGGTCTAGTAGACAGAATTTACAGTTCATGAAGCAAATGGAGCATATTGCATAGTTGTCCTACAAATGACTCCATTAGATTTCTCATAATTTATCCATTCACCATTTAATATAAGGGAAGCAGATATGGAGGAATTTTTATATACTTAATGGACTAGACATGGTAATTCTAATTGATCAATTACTGTGAAGGAATTAGTTAAGATTTGCTACAGCTGAGATGATTATTTTCCGGCATAGAGAATCGAAGATAATTCATATGGCCGACCATAAGGTTGGGGTAAAGGCATGGATGATGGTGATGATAATGATATTCATGCCAACACATATTTTCATAAGAATTACACAATTTTTTTAAAAATAGAAAGAAAAAAAGGGGTACCAATATGACAATTACATGTAAAGGCAAGGTGGAATTTGATTATGACAGGAACAGACTATACACAATGTTAAAGAAGTTGAACAAAAGCAAGGCAACCAATTGGCCGGGCCCCTTAGATGATCCCTTCCTTGTAGTTATTACAAGCAGACGTTTAGGTGGTTTTCCTGATGGAGATAGCCTAATGCACAATAAAATCAGCATTTCCCTACTAAAGCGACCTTTTAGATGCAAAGCCAGTCATGAATAGCAAATAAGAGTCTTTGAGGCTGAAGTTTGGCATGAGAAAGTGCCTTGTAATGTCCTTTGATCCCATCTTCTGTCCCTTCTTCGCCAAACGCCGTAGTCTTGGCGGCGGTGTAAGGCTTTCCTCACACGTCTCTGGCTCCTCCTTGATAGTTGCTAGCTTACTCTTGAGTATTTCCTCTATGTCTTTCCAGGAGTCAGTCCGGAAATTCTTTCTGCTCATGCAAGGCACCACCCGCCACATTTTTCGGTATGCCCTCCTCATCTGCTTTCAAGTTGAGTTCTTCTCGGACAAACTAGGTTTTTAGCAGAAAGTGGTCATGATCACACTAGTAATGCTCTTCTCCTTGCCTATATATAAAGGGAGAGAGATAGGATGTGAGAAGAGGGAGGGTTGAGGAAAGTGGGTTAGGGTTGTATTAGTTGGCTAGAAAATGGAAAGAGGAGGGACCAAAAGCCACAGCCCTTGCTCCTTTACAGCGATGGTTCAATCATAATGATCAGCTTTTGTTCGTTAACCTTTATAAAACCAACCAAACCTTTATTCTATTGAATACATCAATCCGTTTTCTAGTTTTGAAGTTGTATGCATATCTTGAACAAGGAAAGACATGTCTGCTACAAATTTCATGGATGACACTCTGTTCCTGGAAAGCTAAAGCCTTGTGTCTACAAAAGTCATCTGCAGAATTATGAAACTGAAACACAAAGAACCAAATAATAGTGATAAAGACTTGTGGAAAGCAAATCAGGGTGGTTGGGAACACATTGGTGATCAGCAAGTTCAAAACCATATCATTTGATCCCATTCCAAATTGTTTATTAGAAGAGATTTCAGAAACCACACAAAAAATTTATGCCAATCTTCCAGCCTGTTGATACATCATGTTATTGAGGACATACAAAATCAAACCACTGATTTAATTTGTCCAACTGTCATACCTTACCAAACCTTTACTTTGTACCAGAAAATCTTGCAACTTACTTACATGTGCCAAACTTGTCATTATTTCTGTTCTTCTTGCTTCTTTTTGAAGTCAAAACTTCGAGTTTGAAGTGAACTACTTCGGTAACATGTGAATCTACTAGACCACCACTGCATATTCTCAATCTTGGTGTTCCATGGTCCCAAAAAGCTCCTACTCTCTCATCTCATGGTTTGTGGTGCCAGGCTCCAAATGGCTCTGCTAAGAACATGTAATCATTAATTTACCAAGAAACGTGGAAGAATTCGATATTGATTGATGCGAAATTCATAATAAACAGCACCTAATTGTTATTTGACAAATTTTGGCAAACTAATTAATAAAATCTTAGCATGAGAAATGTTCACATGAAGCATCAAACAATTAAGAAGATCAGAATCGTGCGTTCCTGCTTGTATCAGAGGATAAAAGGACACGTGGAAGATTGTCATTTTCTTAATTAATCAGCCAGTCACGAAGTCTAAACCTAACAACAGGACCAGGCCATTTAAACCATCAAAAAACCACCACGTGTCCTCTGATCTCTATGATTAAGTGGTCAATTTAGAATCATACATAAGGGAAGTTTTAATTTGTTTTCTATTTCTCATGTGGAAAGGTTTAAAATTTAAATTCGGTCTACAGTTTCGTGGGTCGAAAATTTATAACCCAACGGTGTTTGCAACTCCTTGAGCCTCCTACAACATTGGCGGAGAAACCGAGCTTCCCCTCATCTGAAATCTCTAATTTCTGTCCCTTTTTCAGGGAAAAACGATTCAAGTCGAATTCTCATCTGGGTCACCTCCATTTCCTCTTTTAGTCCAACCTTTTTTTTTTTTATCAAGTTCATAACTTTAATGATCCATATATTATTGGTCCTTTTTGGAGTTTGCTTTTAGCGGTAAAAATAGTGAGATTGATTATATAAAATTGATGTCTTTGGTTGATAAGGAGATAGCAAGCGTTGGTGGCAGTGGTGGAGGCTCTGTGGGCGATGATGGTGACGATGATGAAGAAGAAGAAGGTGGTGGGTCCCCTGGTAGATGCAAATGCGGTGATGGGCATACAAAGAAGCAGAGAGGGTTTAGGGGTAGTGGGTTGTCAAGAAATTTTGGAAAGGCCAAGCAGGTGGTCCTGCATCCCTTCACAAGATCCAAGAAGCAATTACCCAGAAAAAACAAGACGAGGGCTTCTTCTGCACCTTCTTGTTCTGTGTCTTTTTGTTCTTTTTCTTCAGGTAAGAGGTTTGGAGCTGGTGTTAATGGCGGTGGCAATAAAGGTTGTTACTTTTGTTTCACGCAACCCTCTACTCCGGGTTCACCAATTGGGTCTCAGACCAGCGACCCAGAGCACCCGAATTTCACTTTTGGGATGTTGAGTGCTTTTATGGAGAAGAATGATTTCTTTTCTAAAGAGTGTAATCCCCACTTGGATATTGATGTCTCCCCAAATACTACCGATTGAAGTATCTTCCTACACCATTTTGTTGTTGTTGTTGTGTGGAAGTGATTGTTGAGAATTTTGTCAAAATGAATTGAAGAGGTTGTGGAAGTTTCATACTGATGACAAGGCCGATTGGATTTTTTTTAATTTAAAAGCCTTGTTGTTCTCTCTTTCATGATAGTAGGTGTACCTTATGGATGGATTATAGATGGTTTTGGGGCATTTTGACAGTTTGATATGTGGTGTGAGAATGTGATAATAGATGTTCAGTGCATATTAGTTTCAAGAATATATGCTAGGGCGGCTCTTAGACAGCAGATGCAGAAACCAGGCTTGATTTGGTTTCAAGAATTTATTCTTCTTGTTTTGCTTGGTACACAAATGCCTATCACATCTTGGGGAATTTGGGGAAACCGCATGCGTCCCACATTGTTTCCTGAAGAAATTGAAGCTTTTATTTGATGTTTGAATTCTTTCAGTTTGTAAATTCATTCATGCCTTTTGTTTTATGTGGTACTGTTTTCTGATATTGGGTAGACTCTAAAATTTGTAGCTTTCTCAATCCAATGAATGATGAGCCCAGGCGTGCCTCATTGATAGGCTTCTTAGAAAAGATATTGCCGTCGCCCTAATTAAGCATCTGCGGTATGTCTTTTTCTACCTTTATTCTGTTTTGAGTGAACTTTGGTCATCTGAGTGGACTTCATGGATTCGGTTTGAGAATCTCTTTTATGGTGCAATGTTGAGGTGGTCAGCCAGATGTTTAGGAATGTCATGCGTTCATTTTGAATAAGCTTCTCCAAATGCCTAAATTGTTTTTCAGCCTAAAATTGAATCAGGCAGTACAGTCTCTGCTTTTGCCCCTTGATCAACTTCTAGGTCATCGATTCTGTATTGAAAATTGTCAAAAAGATACATATTTTAACTAATCCTTAGATTGCTCTGACAAAGATTTTCTCACAAAAGGATTTTGATTTCTAAAATCTTTGGAAGAGGGCCATACAAAGTTTACAAATTTAGTTATATACCCAATCTTAGACATAGTCTTATAAAGAAACCATATACCATTTAAAACTATAAACACAACCGGGGAAAAAAAAAAAAAAAAAAAAAAAAAAAAAAAAAAAACCTCAAAAATAGACAAACTGTCAATTTTTTCAATTTAATAGCTACTTTTTACCTTATTTGTATGTATAAAAAACCTATATTGCCCTTGTACTATGGATTTAAGAAAAAAATCAGATCTGCCAAAAAACCAAATCAGATTCATTTCTTCCTTTCTCGCTGGTGCTTTCTTGGTGTTGGAGCAAGAGGAGCTTCCGTTGAAGCTCAGTCTCAGGTCCAACTATATTCTTCATTCCTGATCTACAATTTTCAATATTTCACCTTCGATTTCTTGTTCTAAAATTGTGCTTCTATTCTTTTTTTCTTCTTTTTCGGGATTGTTCGAAACCTTGAACGAACCTCGATTACATGCTCCTAGCTCTACTCCTCTTTCGCCACGTCGTCATCGTTATCGTCGTCGTCGTTTGATTTGGACTTGAATTTTTTATCTTTTGCTTGAATTTTGTGTTTTAATTCGGATTTTAGTTGATTTCTAGAATGTATTTTAAGTTTTGATGATCGATTTATCTTTTATTACTATTTCAGTTATGGATCTCATTTTTGTTTAACAGTATACTTCAATGACAGAGTATTAACAATGTACTTCTATGACATAGTAGTATTAACAATCAGAGCTCGACTGGTTTTTAATACTTTGCGAATTTTTTATATAATAAATTGTTTGGGTTTAAAAAAAAAATCTAGGCTCAGCTTGTTTTGAGTTGTTCTGGTTTGTTCTTTCTTCATCATTTCTTTGGTAGACATGCATTAGAAATAGCAACATGACAAACATTAATCAACATGACAATAAACTAACAATGCTATTACCCTAGATTGGAACATTACAGGAGTAGACATGCATTAGAAATAGGATGTCATAGGAACTAGCAGTGTTATTACCTTATTAGAACATTACAGAGGTAGATATGCATTATAAATAAGATGTCATGAGAAACTGGTTGTGTTATTACCCTAGACTGGAACATTATAGCCATTAATCAACATGACAGTAAAAGTGTGGAATATTACAGTCATTATCAACATGACATGTTAATGAAGTTACGGTTTTTGAGATGTTTTGTTTGTAATGAATTGTTTGGGTTTTTTATTTATTTATAAAATTGGGCTAGACTTGTTTTGGGTGCTTTTTAAGTTTTTTGTGTTGAGGTTCTTCTAAGTTGATCAGTGGTTGTCACGTAATTTATATGAACCTCAACACCAATTTCTTATGTAGTAAATAGGTTTTAGGTGTGTTTCTAAAGTGCATTTCATGTGAATTTTTTTTTTATTATATAATTTCAGCCCCTATTTTGAGTATATTAATGAAGCTCTCTAAAAAGTTGACCTTACTTAATCTCTCCAAGCATGTTGTAGTTTGGTTTTGAGTATTATAGCAGGATTAAGCCTTTTAATCAATTACAATTTACAGAACTAATTTTATTAGCAATGCTCCTTATTACTTCTTAGAAACACTAAGCTAATGCAATTCAATTTATCTGGTTTCCAAGATATTTTGGAGGATGTTGAAAGAACACAAGGTCAATTACTTTGAGTCTGTTTGTAAAGGCACACCCTTTTTGCAACAAAGACATTCTTTTTGCCCAATGGGTGTATGTGGATTTGAAATTAACCCTTTGGATGTTTTGTTGCCTAAATTTATACAAGCTAGACTGATGTTAGATATGTATTTGCTTTTCTGAAAGAAGCAGTTTAAAACTGTGAATTGTTTGATGCAATACTAGATTATCCTTGAGAGCTAAGACTAGTTGTGTTTTCTGGAAGTCAATTCGTAGTTCACAAGAATGAGTTGGTTCTAGTTAAATGACCAGGCAAAGCCAACAAATTTTTTCATAACAAAGTCAAAATTCAATGGACATGCTTCTATTCTTATGGATAAACCATATATAAGTTCATAATGTTGAGTACATGGTATCAAGAAACTACCTGTGTGATATGTATAAGATAAAATATTTTCTATATTCCAATATACAGTCAAACAATATTGGTAGAATATTTTCAGGTTGTATGTCATTCTCCAAAATGAGGTATTTATAATACAATGATGTAACCCTAGTAGGGTCAAACGATGGAAAAAGATAAAATCCTAATTACACAATATTTGTACAAAATGAAAGAAATATAGTCCTAATAAACTAGGAAATAAATCTCCTAATTAAGTTAGAATCTCGCTAACACTCCCCCTTAAGTTGGAGCAAAGATGGCATGTATGTCCAACTTGTCAAGAGAGTTAAGAAAGACCGTAGTAGACACAGCTTTCGTAAGAACATCTGCCAATTGATACTCGGATGATATAAACGAAAAAGAAATAATTTCAGCATCCAACTTCTCTTTAACAAAATGTTGATCAACCTCCATGTGCTTTGTACGATCATATTGCACAGGGTTATGCGCAATTGCAATTGCAGCTTTATTATCACAATACAAATTCATGGGTTTTTGGGGTCCAAACCCAAGATCTCTCAACAATCTTCTCAACCATAGTAACTCGCACACACCTTGAGCTATCTCACGGTACTCAGCCTCGGCACTAGACCTAGACACCACTTTTTGCTTTTTACTCATCCAAGTAAAAAGATTATACTAACAAATGTGAAATACCCAGACGTAGAATGTCTATCAATGATTGAACCAGCCCAATCAACATCCGTATACCCTTCCACATCTGTATGACCATACTTGCAAAACATTGCCCTCTTACCAGGAGTTACTTTTAGATACCTCAAAATGCACATCACAAGACCCATATGATCTTCACTAGAAGAATACATAAACTGACTCACTACACTCACTGCATATGCAATATCAGGACGTGTATAAGCTAAATAAATCAATTTCTCCACAAGTCATTGATAACACTCTTTATCTATAGGGACTTGATCAGGATACAACCCCAACTTATTATTTTGTTTATTAGGGTATCAATTAGTTTACAATCTAACATTCCAATCTCTGCAAGTAAATCCAAAATATACTTTCTCTGAGACAGTAAGATACCATGTTTAGATATAGCAACTTCAATCCTAAGAAAGTACTTCAAATCACCCTATGACTTCATCTCAAACTCGGAAGCCAAATACTTCTGAAGATTTTGAATTTATGCCTGATCAACTCCAGTCATAATCATATCATCAACATAAATAATTAAAGCTGTCAATTTACCTTTATGACTCTTTAGAAACAAAGTATGGTCTGAGTTACTCTGCACATACCCAAATTTTTTTATAGGTGCTGCAAATCTCTCAAATCATGCTCATGGAGACTGTTTCAATTCATATAAGGACTTCCGCAGCTTACACACAACACCCTCCTTAGAGGTTATAAGAATACCAAGAGGGAGACCCATGTAAATCTCCTCCCTTTATGACCCTTTAGAAACAAAGTATGATATGAGTTACTCTGCACGCACCCAAATTTTTCATAGGTACTGCAAATCTTTCAAACCATGCTCTTGGAGACTGTTTCAATCTATATAAGGACTTCCGCAGCTTACACACAACACCCTCCTTAGAACTTATAAGAATACCAAGAGGGAGATCCATGTAAATTTTCTCCTTGAGGTCACCATGTAGAAACACATTTTGGACATCAAATTGCAATAAGGGCCAATCGCAGTTAGCAGCCAGGGACAATAGTACACGCACAGTATTGAGCTTTGCCACTTGAGCAAAAATCTCCAAATAATCCACTCTATAGGTATGAGCATAACATTTTGCTACCAATCTAGCCTTGTAACGGTCAATGAAACCATCAACCTTATGCTTCAAAATAAACACCCATCTGCATTTAACAGCTTTCTTCCCTCGTGGCAAAGGAACTAAATCCCATGTTTTATTCTTGTTCAAGGCATCCATTTCAACATTCATGGCATCCATCCATTTGGGGTTAGATAAAGCATCCTGCAGCTTAATTAGCACACATACACTAGATTATTGACACATATAAGATGCATATAGACAAATGATGAGTTGACATATAGTGGATAATGAGATATTTAG